CCTTTTATTGTATTTGCATTCAATTTTGAAAACATATTCAACAAGTACGACCAAACGTTCCCAGATAAGCCTACAATCAGAGAACTGTGGTACATGACTAAAGGCAAAAGAGATGCTTTCAACTTCTTCAGATGGTAGAAATATACAATCATATTATTGTGAGAAAAAATGACAAAAAAAAAGAACAATTTTGTATTATTTAAAGAGAAATGTTTGGATTCATTTGACTCTGATTAATAATCCCAAACCTTTCCAAACCACAATAGAAAAAGAGCTCCAATTGTCAGTATATCTATCAATTTCATCAGTTTTTGCTCACAGTTTATCACAATGTTACCAAAACCTTCTATATAATCATTTCTAAATTTCAAGGGCAAATCATCAGATTCATATCAAATTCAAGAATCGAACTAATGCTTAATTAACATGAACAAATAGCTCAAAGAGAAACCCACTTGAAATAAAATTTACCTTGATAAACGAAGGGACAAAGTTCCGACAAATTGAATAATCTGTATTACGGGATTCCTCAGCCCTGAGTTGAAGTAGTATGCGGCGGCGGACATACCTCTCCAGTGCCCTCACTTAACCTTTGCCGTATAGTGTACTTGTTCCAGCTTTTCCATTTCCTTATTTCTTTTATTGTTGCTATATTCTTTTTTTTTTTTTAATTTTACTTTGAATGGACCCACGTTCCAAAATTGGGGAAATGAAAAATTGAGCTAATGGGTAAAGTAGTATTTTACATACTTAAATGGTAGATTTTATTTCCTTAAAAAAAAATGGTCATTTTTCATTTGTTTTTTTATAAACTTATATGGCTATTTGATTATATTACCACTTCTTAAAAAGTATACACATAAATTATATCTTTTTGCAATGTTTGTTATTTTTTTTTATTTAAAGATAATATTTTATATTATATTTTAATAAATAAGTGTAAAAATGTGTTACAAATTAATTAATAAATATTACATGAAGTGTGATTTAAGTAAAATGATACATACTTTGTGCTACATTAAAAAAATAATACCATAAGTGTTACCTATGAAGTGTTACATTTTAAAAAATGTTATATACAAGTGCTACATATTCATAAAATGCTACAAGAGTGTTACCTAAATATTGCATTGTATAATATGCTACAAATACATGTTACATAAAATCCCTAATCTAAAATATGTTACAACTTCTTGTTACTTAATGTCACTTTTTTTGTAGTGTATAGTGAGGCAAAATCCTTTGTCCTGATTATAGAAGATTTTGTATATTAGAACAACTCGACAATATCCAAAGTCAACTAATAAAAGCAATGAAATTTACATTTTCACTTGATCTACTTAATTGTGATAATTGGAATCTGACATTTTGTCAATTTGCATTTTCATAGTTCATCGAATTGTGATCAATTAAATAGCAATTTTCAAATATATATACTCTCATATAATTATGATGATGATTGGAATCACTTTTACAGTACCATCAATGGGAGAAGTACAAAAACAAAATAGGAAAAAAGGAAAGAAAACAATACGGACAAAGTATAGTTGTCTCACAGGTAATGCCCTCGTGATCATAATCTATATTAAGATATTTAATAAAACAGTTTGGGATGAGATACAATTATCCAAAATATTATTATAAATTAGAGAAAAGTGCATTTTTCGTCCTGTAAGTTTACCCCTCTGAACAATTTAGTCCTTTTCGAATAGCCAATTTGAGTTTCGTCCTCTAACTTTAAAAAAAGGTTGTAGATTCGTCCCCGACTCGTCGAAAACCCTTTAATTGGCCGAAAACACGCACATGATGAAAATTAATGGCTCTTTAAGCCTACGTGGAGCCGAATTTTCCACACTGGCGACCTTATTTACAAGTTGAGGACGAAAAATAAACGAAAAAAAAAAATTTCCACGTGCCGAAACACGTGGATTAGGAGGGAAAAACAATGAAAAGGCATAAAAACTGAACATACATCCCACTTCTTCCCCTTCCCGCAATCTCGTCGCGTTTCCAAATCCAAATTCTCTCTAAAAAAAACCCTCCATCGTTCCCAAATCCCAAAGCCAAAAAAACCGAAATCTCGAAATCAAATATTGAGAAGCAAGAATTCAAAATAATTCCTGAGAAGATGTTCATCCAGAAGCAGATTCGTATGCACAATGGACCTAAATTCGTACAGTGGAATGTTCATTTTTTTATGAAAAACCCTAAATTCGAGGTGAAAATGGTTCATTTTTTTAAAGTTCGTACAATTAAAATGAAATGAGGATCTAAATTCCGTACATTATAATGAAATTAGGTGAAGGAAATTTCGAAGGTGAAGGAAAATTAGGGTTCTTGAACGAAATCGACAATTTGGAAGAACAAAATCAACAATTTTCTCAACAATTTTAACAATTAGGGTTCTTGAAGATTTGGGGATCTTGTGATTTGGGAAAATAGGGTTGAAGGAGGATGGAAACGATTCAATATTAGAAAACCCGTTTCATTTTATGCCCGGTTCTTTTTGAAGTGTTTCGGCACGTGGATTTTTATTTTTTTTTCGTTTATTTTCTGTCCTCCACGTGTAAATAAGGTCGCCAGCGTGGAAACTCCGGCTCCATGTAGGCTTAAAGAGCCGTTAGTTTCAATCACGTGCGTGTCACGTGCGTGTTTCCGACCAATTAACGGTTTTCCGGCGAGTCGGGGACGAACCTGCAACCTTTTTTTAAAGTTAGAGGACGAAACTCAAATTGGCTATTCGAAGAGGACTAAATTGTTCAGAGGGATAAACTTACAGGACGAAAAATGTACTTTTCTCTATAAATTAAGTACAACAAATTGACCAATCTCACGCTGTTTATTTTATTCCAATTATTATATACATAATACCTCTATGACTAATATTAAAGGTTGGAAAAAAAAAAGACTAATATTATAGGTAAGCCAGAAAACGACAAGGAAATTGGTCAAAAGTCAAAGTTTGAAAAAAAGTCTCATTGACTATAGATGCTGGAAAAGAATATATCAGGTTACGTGGAGGCCAATTTTGATTTAACAATTTGCAGGTAAATTGTAATTTATAATTAACATTCATACAGGACACTGGACAAATATACATGTTCACCAGTGACCACACGGACGTTACCACACANGTTATTCTTTAATAAATACTAGCATGCTATCGCCGTACACAGTACGACCGACCCACATTAAAATTTTTCTTTTAAGCCAAAAGATTATTTATTTGTAATTAAAAAATTATGAGAAATAATGAAAAAAAGGTACGTTGAAACCATAAATAAAGATTTGACACTAAATATACCACATCGATTAGTGTCTAGATCTGTCACGACTCACGAAAACCTGAAGAGACGTTGACCAGTTGATCTGTTTTTGTCGAGGTCTTCTACCACTGCAGAAAATAGATGAATTGCGAAAATGAATGAAGCACAAGCACTGACAAAACTACGTGGTTGATAGGGGGCATAGGCCCCTGAAGTTTTTAAACATTAGGATTGAAATAGTAATTTTAACTTGAATTAAGGGAATTCGAGATGTTAGCACTAAAACTATTATGAAACAATACCACAATTAGATAATAAAAACAAAAATGTTATGGTGGTGTCCGATAGCAAATGGAAGTTATTTGATTTTGAATATCCATGGCTAATTTCATATATCTGCATTATGAAAGTTGTACTAATATAAAAATGTTTTCTTTTTATCACCAAGAACTCTTCTAATTGGGAGCACGTGATAATCAAACCAATTGAATGTCTAGACACCAATTTTTCAATCTTTTGTACAAACAACTCAAAGCTTCGACTGTTACTGAATCACATTTCTTTTCTAATCACATCATTATTACATACCTATTTATTTCATTTTTCAGTTTTCACACGATTTAAGAGAGTATATATTATAATTGTTTGAGAAAATAAATTTAACAATGTTGGTTTTGGTCAACTATTACATGGTTCTTTGTGAGCAATTATAAAATAGAATTTTTATTGTAAAAATCAATTTCCCACAATTTAAAATGAACTTTAGATAAATCAATAAACTTATTTACCTAGTTCAAGTAGTAGATATAAATTATAGCGTAATTGACAAAAAGAAATGTACCAAAGCAGTAATGCATTGTTCAATAATAAGCACTAACATCCTACAGCAGAAAAAAGAAAAAAAAAATCATTCGATTAATTCATTCAATAATCCTCAAAATTTAAACTCACTATGCTAATAACAGAAATTTGATTCAGAACAAAACAGAGTAACCATCTCAAGCTAAAGCCTTCCTAGGTTTGCTTGCTTCCGATTGTGACTCGGGCTGCAAAACAAATCAGGAAAAGAAGTCATTCATGAACCGGGGAAACTATAATATCAGCATTTACAGACCCAATACAGAACTTTTTTGGCAAACTGAAACTAAAACCATAGAAACAAAGATAGTTACCTCTTTCTTGGCAGGCTCTTCTTTCTCAGATAGAAACAACTCAATATGACAGGGGGATGACATGTAAGCTGAAAGGAATTTCCTCATGTTAGCAGCTCAAAAATTTTATTGAAAGAGTTAATATGTCTCAAACTTAACATCCCAATTCACAACACACAAAACCAGACATTAGCTAGCGCAAATATAACAACTGAACTGCAGAATAATTCAAAATTCAAATTTCACATTAATTTAAAAGAAAAGGTTTGACATACGATTGATTCATCCATGTGTACAATATGTGCGGCGCCTCTGTTTCTAGGCCCGGTTAAACTGAATGTGAGAAATAAAGATTGCATCCACATCCAAAGCTTTCACCTGCAATAAAAAGACAATCAAACATGAATCTCTAACCAAAATAAATTCCAAAATTCAGATGGAAAGAAATGGGAAAAAAATAAGACTAAAGTAGGGTACCTCCGCGTTGCTTTCAGCATTCCTGAGTAAATCCAAGATAAACTTGGCAGATTTCACAGGCTAACGTCCCTAACTGTTAGAGTGCCTGTTCTTTGCCCGTGCAGTTGGTGAGTTCCATTAAATCATTAAACTAATCCATTCAAGGATGTCATTTTTATGTTTGCAATTTTGAACAGACCAAAAAGAAAAAAAAAAAAACAACAGCAACCACAGTCAAAACATGCAACACATACAACACAGATGCATCCACAGAGCACAAAAGGCCAACTTTAGAAATACCCAAGAACCAATTTACCGAAATAAAACAAAGAGGATTGTGGCCACAACAGCCTGAACTGCTTGTTGGAGGAGCACGCCCTTGATCATATCTCTGTTGGACATCAAGTTATTCTGATCTTCATTCTTCCCCATGTGCATCATGTAGTCATCGAGCGACCTCAACAACTTACAAACCCGAGTAAGCCCAGTACACACACGAACCCTAATAATTTCACCTAAATTGTAAAAGTATTCAAATCAAAAGACGGAGTTTACCTAACAAATAGCATCGACATCGAAATCAGCTTCCCTAGAGTCCATAGCCTCCATGCCATTCGAGGTTTGATCCATTGGTCCATAGGTGGGGGAAATTGAACCGTTGTTCACGCTGAAGCGCTCGAGCCAGACGATGATAGAAATATGAGAGCGGAAAAAGAAAAAAAAAATTGAAGAGATTCTTGCAAAGGAAATAAGCACGGCCATGACAGATTGAGATTTGGAGCCTAAAAAGTAGGGTGGAAAAATTACTTTCAGGAGACGAATGGAACTCGCAGGGCAAACAATCGCAGACAAAACGACGGCGTTTAATTGAGGGTGACGTGGCTGCATATAAAATGGAGGGACACGCGTCAATTAGAGAAGGCTAGTGTTTCTTTTTATAGATAAGAGAAATAAATATATTGTGAATGTCATATTATTATTTATATTAATTTTTAAGTATGACATTGGAAAACATGCATATTTGCTGAAAATACATACTTGCTAGCCTATCGATAAGATATTGATTTAGAAGTGAACAATGGTATGAAAATTAAATCGGCTTTTAATATACATATATGTGAGAATAACAATGTTTTATATATATTATGAATATATAATTAAATGTTTGTAAAATAATTATATCATACAAATCAAAGTGCTCTCATCCGTTATTAATAACTACACGGAAAATAATTGTAAAAAACTGACCTAATAAGTACTAGGTGTGTCTCACCCTTCTACAGGCTCAAAGAACAAATAAAGCAAACCAGACTAGCTCTCTCTAAATGGAGCAAATCCTTCATATCAGAGCAGAAGCAGAAAATGGAGTCTCTTACACTGAAGTTGGATGAAATGAGACAAATGGGTGATGGGAAAAATTGGGAAGAGTTGGAGACTATCAAAAAAGAACTTGAGCAGGCTCAAACCTCAGAAGAATAATATTGGCAGCAGAAGTCAAGAGTGCTTTGGCTAAAAGATGGAGATCAAAACACTAGCTTCTTTCATGCATATGCTATGCAAAGAAGAAAGAGAAATGCAATCACTAGACTTATTGCTGCTGACAGAGTCTGGACACCCAGGAGGAGATAGCCAAAGAAATTTCCAACTACTATCAACATCTCTTCACTTCTGAGGGTTCCCAAGGTTCTTCAGACATTACTCAGCATATTCCACATTCAATCTCACCAGACATGAATGAAGCTCTTCTCATACCTATCTCAGAAGTAGAAATCCAAAAGGCCCTATTCTCAATGAATCCTCTTAAGGCTCTTGGAGAGGATGGAAATGACACCATTATTCTACGAACACTTTTGGCCCATAGTCAAAGAAGACCTCTGTGCAGCAGTCTACAACTTTTTCTCCTCTGGTCAACTCTTAAGGTACTGGAATCATACCTTAGTTACTCTAGTGCCTAAATGCCTGAACCCCACTTCAATCACTCAGTTCAGACCCATAAGTCTGTGTGGTGTGGTCTACAAGATGATTTCCAAGGTCCTGGTAACTAGATTAAAAGAATGCTTAAACTCCTGCATCAGTCAAGCTCAAGGAGCTTTCCTTCAAGAGAGGAACATTTTGGATAACATAATCATTGCTCAGGAGGCCTTCCACTACCTCAACAGACACAGAACAGGACCTCATTGCTTTATGACCCTGAAGTTAGACATGCTGAAAGCATTTGACCGTGTGGAATGGAGCTGTATCAGAGACATCATGCTAAAAATCGGATTTGACTCTTCCTTCATCAAGTGGATAATTGCTTGCATCACTACCACCTCATTCTCTTTCATGGTTAATGGTGAACCTGTGGGATTCTTAAAACCTTCAAGGGGATTAAGGCAGGGGGACCCTCTATCCCCTTACCTATTCCTCATTGTCTCAGAGGCTTTCTCTGCTCTCATTCAATCTGCTATTGTTGTGGGTACTTTCAAAGGTCTGAGAACAGCAAGAGGTGGCCCAACCCTATCCCATCTGCTCTTTGCAGATGACTCATTAGTGTTCTGTAAAGCTACTTCTGACCAGGAAATGCACCTCAGGGATATTCTTAGAAGATACCAAATCTTCTCAGGGCAAAGTGTCAACATGTCAAAACCCACAGTCTTCTTTAGCAAGAACACTGATAGAAGAACCAAAGGGAACATCTGTCACATCCTTGAAGGCATCACCCCTCATTCATCATCTAGATACCTTGGACTCCCTTTGGGGATTGGAAGATCCAAGAAGGAGGCTTTTGACTATATGTTGCAATCAGCAAAAAAGAGACTGATAAACTTGAAAAACAAGTACCTCTCCACTGCAGGGAAAGAGATCCTCATAAAGGCTGTCCTTAGCTCCTTGCCAGTCTATGTAATGTCCTGCTTCATGTTACCAGCTGGGATATGCAAGGATCTGGCTAAAATCACTGCACATTTATGGTGGAGCAAGGGCAAAGATATGGAAAAAGGACTACATTGGAAAAGTTGGAAACTACTTTCTATTCCCAAACAGAATGGTGGTTTAAGCTTTCAAGATTTCAGTCTCTTCAATAAGGCACTTATTCTCAAGCAACTCTGGAGGATCACCACAAATCCCCATCTTCTGGTTAGTAAACTGCTGCAAGCCAATTACTTCCCAAACTCATCCATTTTTGAAGCAAAAAAAAAAAAAAAAAAAAAAA